AGGTTCTGTCTCTAGGTTCTGTTGCCAGTTTCTGTCCAGGATCTTTTGCCATGTTCTCTCACTAGGTTCTGTCTCTAGGTTCTGTCGATGAAGTCTTAATAATAAAAAGTTGGGGGTGGATTCTTTTGATCTCAGCCTATTCTCCAACCCCAGGGCCTGTGCTCTGCCCCAGATTGCCATCACCCTGCACTCTTGCTGGGGTCACCTCTGCTCCAGCCTTCCCTGCACATCACTGCTCACCCCCACTGACCATCCACTCCAACTCGTCCACATAGCAGCCAGACGTCTCCCCCAAAACCAGACCCTTGTCCTGCCCCGCCTGCCTGAAGCCCTCTAAACCTGTGCAACCCCAGGGCCTGTGCTCTGCCCCAGATTGCCATCACCCTGCACTCTTGCTGGGGTCACCTCTGCTCCAGCCTTCCCTGCACATCACTGCTCACCCCCACTGACCATCCACTCCAACTCGTCCACATAGCAGCCAGACGTCTCCCCCAAAACCAGACCCTTGTCCTGCCCCGCCTGCCTGAAGCCCTCTAAACCTGTGCTTGGGTCAAAGTTCAGATTCCTTCCTCAGCCTACACAGTCCTCTGCTACCTCTCCAGGCTCACACTACTACTAACCTCAAGTTCAACACCCCACCTGCGCTCCTTCCACTTCCCTTTTTACCCCCTCTCCGTCATCACCTGGCTGCTCTACCTGCAGGTCTCAACTGAGATGCCTCTTTTCTGCAAGTCCTGTGTCTGCCCCATGTGCTCTACGGAGCACATTTACCCTACATATCTATTAAAGCTCAATGCTGTACAGTCAACTCCTTCTGATGGCATCTCTCCCCCACCTGGCAGTTATCTCCATGAGGGGAAGGGCTGGGAGTGTATTGTCATTACCTCCTACCCACCTGGCAGAGGACCTGGCACATCGTGGGCATGCAATAAATGATGAGTGGATGACTCTGTTGGGGCTGGATGTATGGATAAATGGATGGATAAATGGATGGATGAATGGATAAATGAATGGATGGATGAATGGGTGTGTGGATGGATGGATGAATGGATAGATGGTTGATGAAAGGATGGATGGGTGTGTAGAAGAATGGATTAATGGATGGATGGATGGATGATGAATAGACAGATTGGTGGATGGATAGATGATGGATGGCTTGATAGATGGATGGATGGATGATGAATAGGTGGGTGGATGGATGATATAGTGCAAACAAAGGTGCCATGAGGAGGTGGGGGTCAGGTTTCGCTGAAGGAGGCTTATTAGAGGAGTTGAGAGGATAGCACTGTGGTGACAGCTGCAACTTAAAGAGCTTTTCCTCTTTGCTGGTCCCAGACCTGGCACTTTATTTGTGTCACCTTAATTGAAGGAGGCTTATTAGAGGAGTTGAGAGGACAGCATTGTGGTGACAGCTGCAACTTAAAGAGCTTTCCCTCTTTGCTGGGTCCCAGACCTGGCACTTTATTTGTGTCACCTCTCTGCATCCTCATGGTAGCCCTTGGTGTGAGCTATCGTCCCCTTGCCTAAGTCTTGTTTCATTGGTAATTAATACTTTAATAAAAATTTAAATAAGTAACACTTGCTTGACACGGCATTTAAAGGGTGCAGCAAGATGTACATTTTCCCACTGTGGAGACCCAGACTGTTGTAGGCACAATAGGAGCTCAATAAAATGCACTGACTTGAATATTTAACGTGAAGAAACAGCAGCTCAGAGAGGGTGGGAGCTTGCCCAGCGTCTCACCGTCAGCCACGTCATGGTGTGCAAGCAGGTTCCTCTCACTGCAGACCAGCCCTCTCCGCCGAGGAGGAGTGGGGTGCGGAGGGCACGCCTGAGCTGAAAGGTGGGGGGTGTAGACGAAGGCTCAGAGGCAGGAAAGGCATGGCACGTCCTGGGGACAGAGAGGAGGGTCGTGTCAGGAAATACGGTGAGGCTGGGGTTGGCATCAAGGCCTTGAGATCCAGCTGAGGAAGCAGCGGTGACCGGCCAGGCACAGGAAAAGGGCAGATGTCATCTTTTTGGAGCTCGGAAGGCAGGAGGCCATGACCAGACCAGAGAAAGCTGATGTTGCAGGTTGGGGTGAAGACAGTGTGCCACACAGAACCAAGCCAGACCCACTCTCAAAGCCTCCGCCTGGAGGTCTGCCCTGCTCCCACCTGCCCGTCCTCACCGCCCCTGCCTCATGGAAAAAACATGATCCACGGGGCCGCTCTCTTGGCTGAGCGCAGGGCCCCGGGGACAGGAATGGAGGTGCTTCCAGGCCAGCAGAGGCGGTGCTCCGGGGGCTGCCTGCCTGCGGGTGTGCCCCGCCAGAGGACTTTAGGTAGCGGTGAGGTAAGGGACTTGGCACCAGATAGCACTGAGTCACCTGGTGAGAAAGCTGTTCCCCTTTCAATTACCCATCAATCCTGAGCAAACTGAGATTCAGGATCCTGGTTACTCAGGCTAATGACTAAGTTTTCTGTTTGTTTTAAAGACAAGAGCAGCCCTGTGGTTCAGAGCCTTGAAGGGCAGCTGAACCTGTCAATGGTTTCTGAATATTATTGTTTCACCGCAGTCATTGTTCCGGTCACCTTCTACCGACTCCCAAGTAATACTTTCTTTCAGTTTGTAGTAGGTTGGTGGTAAGTGTCTGAAATCCCCAAATCACGTGGCTTCAATGAGAGAACATGTCTTTCACCGAAGGCGGGCTGGTGGAGGCTCCGCGATCCAGGCTCCCTCCACCTTGCTGCTTCACCCCTCGTGGTCCAAGATACCTGCCGGGGCTCCAGCTACCAGGCTGGGTTCCAGCCAAAGGAAGGAAGGAGATGCTGACGTGCACGCTCCCTCCCTTTAAGGATCCTTCTAGGAAGTTCCAAATGGCACTTCTTCTCAAATGGCCACGCCGGCTGCAAGGGAGGTTGGGAAGCAGCCTGGATTCTGGGCAGCCATCCACCCATCTAAAAATCAGGGATCTCAGGGAAAGCAAGAAGGTGTGAACAGGTACTGGGGAAACTAGCGAGTCTGCCACGCTCCGCTTTTCTCTCCTGATGGAGACATCAAATTTTTTTATTTTAATTTCAAGTGAGGAAGGGGCGCAGGTCTGGCTAACCAGGAAAGCCAACCAGGCCTGGCGAGGCGGACCCGTGGGCATCAGCATCTGTTTGTTTGCTTTGCGGGCAGGAGTGGGGGTGGGTGGGGCTGCCATGGGATAGGTCAGAGGTCTCTAGGTCAGAGGCTGCTGGAGGGGTCTGCTAAGCCAAGCCCACAGGCCATCCTGAACAAGCCTGTGGACAAAGCACTGACCAGGGCAGTGCATGGGGCGAGGACTCACATCCTGGCAGTGCTGACGCTGTCTGCATTGTCTCCCTGCACCCACACAGCGCAGCAAACCGGTCACCTCTGTCCCCGTCGGACAGCAAGAGGAAGCTGCTCCCGATGATCTCGGGCGTGTGAACAGCAGAGCAGATCCACATGGGGTCCGAAGCTTCCCAAACTGGGGCCCTGGTGCCCAGAACCGTGACTGTGGACAGCAAGAGGAAGCTGCTCCCGATGGTCTCGGGCGTGTGAACAGCAGAGCAGATCCACACAGGGTCCGAAGCTTCTCAAACTGGGGCCCTGGTGCCCAGAACCGTGCCTGGCCCGGGCAGGGAGGTCCTGAAGAATGAGCAAATGAATGAATGAGCGAATGAATGGGAGGGCCTTCCTCCTGCCTCTGTGCGCAAACATTCTCTAGCAAGCAGGAGTCTCGGGGAACCATGCCACCCCTTCCCCTGACCGGCAGCTCCTGGTGGGGAACACTCGATTTTCCCAAAATAAAAGGGTGTGGGGACCGGAAGTGTGGCTCCCTGGGCTCCTCCCTGATTGCTCTGGGCAGGAAGCCAGCCCTCGCGGTTATTTCCAGCGCCCGCCCTGCTTTCGGCGGAGTATTTCTGGAGCGCACACAGCCTTCTTTTAGTTTTATGTTAGGGGTTGCTCAGCGGTGGGCAGACGCCTGGCCACGCATGCTGCCGGTGACTGCCTGGCTGTGGTACCTGGGACAACCTTCCGTGGGAGCCCAGGACAGCATGTGGGCTGGGATGGGCTTCTCCCCACCTCCCCCAAAACCCCAGCTGGGCCAGTCTGGGAGCTGGAAGGTGCTGCAGGGCAGGCCAGCTCTGTCAGTCTGCGGACTTCACCCTCCGTCTCCTACTGTGAGCCTCCCTCCCCCCACCCCTCCACCCAATTACCAAACTCCAAAAGTTAAAGTACCACCCCTAGGAATCTAGTTGTTTGGTTTTTCTCATTTTCCGATGACCAAGCACATTCACGGAATCTCTAATAAAATGAACCACACATTTAGTCATGTCCTTGTCCTGCTTAAAACATGTTGTCTAGAAGATAAAATCCAGGCCTTTCCTTTCCCTTCAGGCTGAGAACACTCTCCTGAACCTGCCTCCTGAACAAGCCCCACTAATCTGCTCCCTGCCTCCTGAACAAGCCGTCTTCTTTCATGCCTCCTGGCCTTTGCACTTGCTGTTTTCTGTGCTTGAACTGCTCGCATTCTGCTGAACTCCTACTTATCCTATGAAACCCAACTCAAAAGGCCCCTTCTCCGAAACACAGTTAGGTGTCCTTGCCCCACCAGTGATCTGACAGATTACTCAGCTCTCAGGACTCTGGTTTCTTCTCTTGTCATTGTTTTCCTGTCTCTCCTGTTATACCTGGAACTCCTGAACATCACAGTTCCACCCTGCATTCATTCGAGTCCTGTCCTTCCTCCCCAGTGCCTAAGGCAGTTACTATCCCATGATGGTAATAAGTCAGCAACTACCTTCCTTGGTGTTTCAAGTTCTGCCCTGGCTTTGTCCCACCGCAGCCCTGGGAAAGGCGGAGCACCCCCAACTTTACTCATAGGAAATGCAGGGGTTCCATCAGTGAGCAGTGAGTGCCCACATTCCTTGGGCAGGCAGCACTCGATGTGCAGTTAGATGGCACCCAGCTGCGGTGACTCAGTGGGTGTCAGAGGTGGCCCAAGGTCACTCCTCACATCCTCCCCGCCCCCAGCCCCCCTCCCCCAGCCCAAACAGGGAGAAAGGAAGGTGAATCCCGCCCCGCTTTGTTTTACAAATTGGATGACAGAGCCTCTCAGATTAACCAGAAAACAAAACCAAAACCAAAACCCCAAATCCACCACGTACATCATTTCCAGCCTGGAGGAGGGCCAGCTTTCCGCCTAGGGCTCAGCTCTTCGCACTGGATTGGCCCAGAACACCACCTGCCTTCTCTGTTCCCTGAGCTTCGGGTTGGCAATGGCGGGGCGTTATCCCCTGGGGGCCGGAATCCCACAAGACCACTGGGAGTCTCTGGAGCTGCTAGACCCCTCCCCCCACAGCCCATGTTCCCCCTGACAGGCCTGGGCCCCATCCTGAGGGGAAGGCCAGGTTAGAGCCCAGGCAGTCAGTGTACCTCACGTTGGTAAGGGATCGGTCATCCTGCCCCCTGCGGTGCTGGGGGCACTTCAGGGCTCTGTGTAGGACTGAATCAGACTCCGTGGGGGTGGGGTCTGGGCAGGGTGGTCCTGAAGAATGAGCGAATGAATGAATGGGCTTGGGCAATTTGAACACATTTCCAGAAGATTCTTTCCTCCTTTGGGATAGGTGCTCCACCTCTCCTCTCCTGACCAGCAGGCACCCATACTCTCGAAGCTCTTACTCCAGCCCCATGATTCACCTCCTTGCCCAGGGGACCCCTTCGGTGGAAGTCCTGAGGGCCCCTCCCATTCAGCGTCCTCGTAACCCAGCATCCCTTTGTGGGCTGTCTCCCCCC